GTATACATTACCCAGGGTACATTACATCCATTTGAATACATTACACAGGGACCATTACACCCGTTTGTATAATTTACCCAGGGACCATTACACCTATTTGTATACATTACCCTGGGTCCATTACACCCATTTGTATACATTATCCCGGGTCCATTATACCTATTTGTATACATTACCCAGGGGCCATTACACCTATTTGTATACATTACCGTGGGGCCATTACACATATTTGTATACATTACCCTGGGTCCATTACACCCATTTGTATACATTATCCCGGGTCCATTATACCTATTTGTATACATTACCCAGGGGCCATTACACCTATTTGTATACATTACCGTGGGGCCATTACACATATTTGTATACATTACCCTGGGTTCATTACACCTATTTGTATACATTACCCAGGGACCATTACATCTATTTGTATACATTACCCAGGGACCATTACACCCATTTGTATACATTACCCTTGGTACATTACATCCATTTGAATACATTACCCAGGGACCATTACATCTATTTGTATACATTACCCAGGGACCATTACACCCATTTGTATACATTACCCAGGGGCCATTACACCTATTTGTATACATTACCCTGGGTCCATTACACCTATTTGTATACATTACCCTGGGTCCATTACACCCATTTGTATACATTATCCCGGGTCCATTACACCTATTTGTATACATTACCCAGGGGCCATTACACCTATTTGTATACATTACCCTGGGTACATTACATCCATTTGAATACATTACCCAGGGACCATTACACCCATTTGAATACATTACCCAGGGACCATTACATCTATTTGTATACATTACCCTGGGTACATTACATCCTTTTGTATACATTACCCAGGGTAATTGTTCGAGTTACGGGCATCGAGTTACGAAAACATCGAGTTACAAATATGATCACGCCCATATTTTGGAAACCACGCCTACGTTTGCGAAACCACGCCCAAATTGTAACTCGATGTTCAATTAACAATTAACAGAACTTTGAGCAACATATGTTTTTGTTGAACGTCAACTGTTAGTAACTCAAACTTCAATTAACAGTAAACCAAACTTCGAGTTACAGACAACATATATTTTTGTTTTCTTTAACGTTTCTTTAACTGTTATTTAAAGTTTGAGTTACTCAGTTAACTTACATTAAACAAATATATATTGCCCATAACTCTAAGTTCGGTTAACTGTTATTAAAAGTTTGACTTACTGTGACGCTGAAGGCAAGTTGCCAAACCCTTTCTAGATGGACAGAAGAATTGATTAAAATTGTCAGTATTTCATTCATCATAAACATGTGACGTTCAGTATGGAATCCATTGATCATATACAACGTATAACAAAGAAAATTATTTTGTCTAACAAAAAGTCTTAATAAATACTGCATCAAACCCACCACGTATGATATGGTTTGAAGACAACATATTTATACCTTCTGTTGCTCCAACACTGCGGGATTTGTGATAAACAAATGTGGAAATAAACATATATTTACGGAGATTTTAGATATCGTATCAGCATATTTTAATATTTTGGTTTAAATTTCAGACAAACGAGAATAGTCACAAACACACATACGTATGTGTGACCATTTGAACATTGTGTGCTTTATATGAACAGTTATACTGGAATATATTCATATTGTGAATGTATTTAAGAATATAATTAATTTGATTATGTTGGTCAGTGAAATCACGTGATGTGATAACAAGTTTTCAAGATGACTGCCACACATATGCTATATATGAGACTAAGATAAAGAAGTAGGCTTTTATAACGAATTGTGAATGATATCATACGATTACCATTTTATGCTAATAATAGAATCAAAATGCCAAATATTTTGTCAGCCTATTCGCGTTACACCAGAATAGAATATAAATAACAATATATACGAGCTGTAGATCAACAGATATTTCTCCATGAAATATGCAACTACCATCATAGATAATGAGCCTCCATATGTATATATTGTATAATTTCCAGAATACAAAATGATTATTTAAACTTTATTATATTAGCGCTCTCAGCGTTGAATAAATGTGATCACTATTGTACCACACATTGATAGTTATGCTCTATTTTTCATTGGTGTGAAGAGTTAGGAACGCAATAATACAGATTAAAGATCAATCGAATAACATATTTTATAACATACATTGTACATATTAGTAAAGGATTACATTGTATTTGAGTCATTTGTCTGTACTTGGCCGAAATCCAATTTCATATATGAATATTTAAATTTTCAACCCGAAAATTGTGTTACCTAAAAGTTGTAGACGTCATCTTGTTTATAGAAAATCGCTTGTATTCGTATTTGGCAATAATACGTGTTATATATTGTAGATCACAGTAACTACAATTCCCAGAGCTAATTAAGAAACAAGAATATCCCATGCTATCAACTATTGTATTGTGAAAGGTTTGAATATTTCCTACATTAGTAATTTAACAGACTCTAGACAATTATGGGGGGGGGGGGTAGAAGTGAGTGGGCATTTAACTACACCTAAGACTTCATGGGAGTGTTTAGTTATTATCATAATTTAAAAAAATCTACCGCCTCAGTGAAATTAAAATTACATTTTCACAGTTTAATCTGTAGAAGTTAATTTTCAAATTGAATTTTGCAGTTTGCTACCAAATTATTAACAGGATAATATGGAGGAACACAATCAAGAAAGTTAGCTTTGGTGACCATCCAGATCAATATGAATGTACGGTGTTGCTGTTGAAGTTGCTTCACAACGATCCTATAAGCATTGATGCGAGTATGGCTACTGTGTTGAGTGTGAATGTTGTTGTAGTGTTAGTGGAATTGATTGTGAAATTTGTGAATTTTGAGCCAAAGACATCTGAGTTTGACAAAAATGTAGGAAATGAAGACTTTTCTAAATGTTTCAAAGGACATTTATTCTGAAGTCAGCAAAATCCCTTCCAACTGTTCTCGTTGCGAGTTCTTGGGTCCAGCTGTCTACTTTAGTGATGTCAGGCAGACTGGGACAGATAAACTGTTTTGGTTAGTAACGTATCTTTGTCTCTATTATCTCAACATATCTATGCAAGTGAATCTAGTGAATTGTTCTCGTGAATCAGTTCAAGCAACCATTGCCCTGTGTCTGTCCTTAGTGTTAGACTTGACAGAATGTGCATATGATCTCGACAAACTAGCCCTAGTTTAGAGAAGGTGATATTGTGAGATCAAGGCACTAGATAGTTATGATCCATGCATTACTTTTCATTGGGTTTGTCAAAAAAAACACTCTCACAATTCCTGCTGTTGGAGTCAAGAATCAGAAATATAGTGGAATTCTAAGATGCGGTTTTTTTCTAAATGGTTCGGTTAGGTTATACATTCGGTACGCAAATTTGTTGTTATTTTTTTAAAACGTCCTCCAATATCAGATATAAAATTTATCACCTAATTAGTATAATAATTATGTGCAAATATTTTAGATAAATGCGGACTTCTATTATTTTTAATTTTCTCAGTTAGTAGAGACAGAAAAGTAAAACAAATTACATTAATTAGTGTAACAAGTAATGAAAAACAAACTCGGTGGATCAATGTTAGATAGAAAGATATATGTACAGAGTCTGTGTGCTTTCCACAAAGTTTATGTATCTTTGTCGAACGACCTCAATAAATATGCTAAATGTTTGCAAATGTATAAATAGGGTTATCAAAACAATAAAGTTCTCATTTTTCGCACTAGGAGATTCTGTATCAAAAATTGTACACAATAAGAGTGTACACAGGAAACTACAAAAAATAAATATCGAACAATTAATGTCATGTAAAG